GCAGGGCAAGCCCCCCACCGCCCCGGTCCCTCTCTTGCACCTCTGAAATGGCCCAGCACTGTGCCTATCCTGCTCCCAGGAGGGTCCTGTGGACCCAGAGACCTTCCTGCGAGCCGCTGTCCAGGGCAAGATGCACATCATTGAGAAGTTTCTGGCAGACGGTGGCCCCCCTGACACGTGTGATGAGGTAGTGTCCCCCCACAGCCCCTGGCCAACCCTCATCCACGCTCTGCCAGCACACCCCGCTGTGCCCGCTGCCAGGGCTGGGACCCCGGGGGTACAGCTAGGCTGGGGGCAGATGGATCCATCTGCCAACGTGATGCCTCGTCCCCCCAGTTCCACCGCACGGCTCTGCACCGCTGCTCGCTGGAGGGACACACGGACATCCTGCAGAAGCTGCTGGGCAGTGGAGCCACCGTTGACTTCAGGGACCGGGTGAGGCTGAGTCCCGCCCCAGGCTCCACACTGGTCTGAGCCTCCAAGCATGGTGCAGACACAACAGCAGGGTCGGGGTCCCTGCAGTAGGACAGCGGTGTCCTCATTGCCAAGGTGGCCGCAGACAGGGCTCTGTTCGCTCAGCCTGGGCACGGGGACCAGCTGGGGCAGGGGACAGACACGGGGTTGGGGTACCCCCGTCGTGACACAGCTCTGTGTGCCCAGCTGGACTGCACCGCCGTGCACTGGGCCTGCCGGGGCGGGCACCTGGATGCTGTCAAGCTGCTGCAGGACCATGGGGCAGACCTCAACCTGAAGGACAAGGTGTGCAGGGCAGAGCCCTGGGCCACGGGGCTGTGTCAGGAGCACGGGCATGCTCCGGGGGGCCAGGGCTAGCCCTGTGTTGGGTTAGCAGGGGTGGGTGCTGGTGACCTCTTGTGTCCATCTCCTCCCCCCTCTCAAGCTGCTCAGCACCCCGCTCCACGTGGCCACCCGGACTGGGCACCTTGACATTGTGGAGCACCTCATCCACTGTGGGGTGGATGTCAATGCCCCAGATAGGGTGAGTACTGAATCCATGCAGCCAGTGCTGAGGGGGCAATGCTGATTTCCCCTCCCCTGGCTGACCCCTCTGGGAGCTCCCAGCACCCACAGTGGGGCACACCCGGACACATGCATCCCTGCCTCAGGGTGCTGTCGGTCACAGCCAGGGCTGGGGCAGGCACCATCCTCTTTGTCTTCATGGGAGGGTGGGTGTGTGGGGAGCTGAGGAGCAGCGCTGGGGACAGGAAGGAGGTCCTTGTCCCCAGACCTGGACCACGATCCCCAGCCAGGCTGTGCCTCTTGCAGGAAGGTGACACAGCGTTGCACGACGCCACACGGCTCAGCCGCTACAAGATCATCAAAATGCTGATCCTGCATGGGGCTGACATGATGGCCAAGAACCAGGTGAGCGGGGGAGAGCCCCCCATGCTGGGCCATTTGCTGCCCCACACTGTTGTGCCACCCCAGTCCCAGCTTCTCTCTGCTTGCTCTTGCAGGCTGGCAAGACCCCGACAGATCTGGTGCAGCAGTGGC